AGCCTGGTGTGGAACCCAAGAGGCCCTGCAGGCCCATCAACCTCACCCATCTTATGTATCTTTCCTCGGCCACCAACCGCATCACTGTCACCTGGGGCAACTATGGCAAGGTGAGCACCGGTACCCATCCCCCTCTCCCCTCCCCCCTGTGCCCGGTACCCATCCCCCTCCACCCTGTGCCCGGTACCCATCCCCCTTCCCCCCTCCACCCTGTGCCCGGTACCCATCCCCCTTCCCCCCTCCACCCTGTGCCCGGTACCCATCCCCCTTCCCCCCTCCACCCTGTGCCCGGTACCCATCCCCCTTCCCCCCTCCACCCTGCGCCTAGTACCTCGTCATCCCACACACACACCCTGTCCACCCTGCATTCAGTCCCTGATGCTGCAGCTGCTCTGTCCACAGAGCTACTCTGTAGCGTTGTACCTGGTGCGGCAGCTGACCTCCTCAGACCTGCTGCAGAGGTTGAAGACAATTGGTTTGAAGCACCCAGAGCTCTGCAAGGCACTGGGTGAGCACAAGGGGCTCCAGGGCCTGGCTGTGCCTCGAGACACAGCACTCATGGTGTGTGCAAGGGTGGCTGAGGGGTTTGGGTCCAAGACACAGTGTCAGCCTGGGGGCGGGGTCTAGTCTAGGGACTCCCGGTCTGTCCTGTGGGCACCGAGCCTCATCTCATGGTTGACAGGCAAGCCTCTTGCCTTCCACAAACTGGGGAGCAGGAGCAGGTGGGCGCCCTGGGAGGAAGGTAATACGTGAGATTTTAAGGCCAGTTACTTCTGACGGGTGGATTGTTCTGTTTTTTGTTTTGTTTGTTTGTTTTTGTTTTTGATTGGCTTTTTCTAAGATGGTTTCTCTGTGTGGCCCTGGCTGTCCTGGAACTCTGTAGCCCAGGTTGGCCTCAAAATTCAGAGATCCGCCTGCCTCTGCCTCTACCTTCTGAGTGCTGGGATTAAAGGCTGGCTGTGACACCCGAGGCAGCCCACAGTGCCCACCCACACTTGGCGGGTGGCCTCATTGGCCCTGCCATTTCTTTGCAGGACAGGGCATCTAGGCCTGTTGTGCTCTCCCAGCTGGGGTGAACCAGCCTGCTCTGAGGAGAGATGGCCTCTGGCTGTGTGTCCCTGTGATGTGACACATCTTGGGGGCTAAGAACTCTGACCAGGAGGGGGTAGCCTGGCCAGCGGGGTTGCTCGTGCCTGCATAGGCAAAGGCATGCTTTGCAGACCAAGGCCACCAACTCTATTGTTTGGTAGCCAGGGTGGGAACAGCAGAGTCACAGGTTCACTGTGTCTATGCCTGACCTCAAGCTGTGGACCCTGGCGTCTCCATGGTGCTCACATCAGCTGCAGCATCACATCTCTACCCCCTCAGGGCAGGCTGTGCTGCCTGGAACTTTCCAGAAACACCCTGCAGGTCTCGGGGGCCTACAAGGCCCCTGTGTGGAGTGCATCAGGGTTTGTGGGGCTCAGGATGTTTGGAAGTGACACCTGGGAGCTGGAGGCAGAAGGATCTGGCTACAGGGAGATTCAGAGGCTAGCCTGGCCTGTGTGGTCCTGCAGCTGTGGAGCAACCGCCTCTGACCCTGCCTGTCCCTCTGTCACCTCACAGTCAAAGAGAAGCTCCGCCTAGACCCAGACAGTGAGATCGCCACTACTGGAGTACGAGTGTCCCTTATCTGCCCAGTGAGTCCCCGTCTGTCCCCGGCTCCATGGGTGGCCAGCCTCTCGTGGGACAGTGCTCACATGCTGTCCTTTCTCTCACAGCTGGTGAAGATGCGGCTGTCGGTCCCCTGCCGTGCAGAGACCTGCGCACACCTTCAGTGTTTCGACGCTGTCTTCTACCTGCAGATGAATGAGAAGAAGCCCACGTGGATGTGTCCTGTGTGTGACAAGCCGGCTGCCTATGACCAGCTTATCATAGATGGGTTAGTCAATGCTGTGGAGGCGGAGCCAGGCTCTGCCCTGGAGACACCAGCCGGAGCTGTCCCGCCGGTTGGGCCTGTGGCCTCCGTTGCAGGACTTGTACTTTACTGTGGGAAGGGTTGTTGTGTCTTAGCTTCACTCTGCCTGAAGTCCCCTCTGCCTGTGACCTTGAGGTCCCAGTCTTTGCAAGTGACCTCCCTATGGGAGGGACAGGACAGGCAGGAATCTGTCCCACATCACAGAGGGAGGGAGGGGTCGTGTTTCCCTTGGGACAGCTCAGCTCTCCACTCCAGACACTGGGTCTGCTGTCCAGGATACCTGAGGCTCCTGCCAGCTGCCAACCAGAGTGCTGTGTCTCCAGAGGCAGCCTAGGTGGCTGTGGCCCTCAGAGCACTTGCCTCCCCCGAGCACTTGCCTCCCCCCATGCCCTATACCCCTGCCATGCTCCCGATGAGGAAACCAGGGCTTGGAGGCAGCCAGCAGCCCAGCTCCTTGAGTTTGCAGATGGCTGGCTTTGCCTTGGGTCCTTGCTGGATGGGCCACTTCCCTGACGAGCTCTAGCATTGGGTGAAGTGAGTCCTGGCACGTGGGCTGGGCTCAATTGCCCTCTGTTCTGCCAGCTGTGGCCCTATACCCCAAGCCCTCCCTCCCCAGGGCTCTGGGCAGACGGTGGCATCAGTAGCTGGGGCTGCCAGGCTCAGCAGGTGCTTCTGCCCTTGGTAGAACCCTGTGTTACCACGCTGGTATGGTCAGGGGCTTCCTGGAAGACAGCTCCAGTTGGTGGCCAACAAGACCATTCCTCTTGTGACCCCAGCGCGGGCTGTGGGAAGTTAGTGAGAGTGTGTACTAGCTGTGCAGGCGCTGGGGCTGGCAGTGGACTCTGCTCGAGTCCAGCCTTGTCCGCCCCTGCTGTCCCAAAGGCTGCTGTCGAAGATCCTGAGTGAGTGTGAGGATGCAGATGAGATCGAGTTCCTTGCCGAAGGCTCCTGGCGTCCAATCCGTGCGGAGAAGGAACAGAGCTGCAGCCCCCAGGGCCCCATCCTGGTTCTCGGTGAGTCCCTGCACACTGCCCTGGCAGCCACACCGGCCAGCCCAGGCTGGTGGCTGAGCACTGTCTCTGTCCCCGCAGGCACCTCAGACACCAACGGCCTTCCACCGGCCTCCAGCACTCCTGGTGTGGGAGGCAGCGTGGGCAGCGCGCTGGGCGGCATAGGCAGCGGGACGGGGGTGGCGGGCGGCCCAGAGACCGGGAAGCCTGGCGCCGACGTGGTGGACCTCACACTGGACAGCTCATCATCCTCGGAGGACGACGAGGAGGAGGAGGATGAAGACGAGGATGACGATGAGGGCCCGCGGCCGAAGCGCCGCTGCCCATTCCAGAAGGGCCTGGTGCCCGCCTGCTGACGTGCCGGCCTCCCCTGCCCACCCCTCCCCAGCTCCTGGCTCCCGTACCTCTGGACTCTCCCCTTGGGGGACAAAAAAAAAAAAACCAGTAAAGTGACAAAAAAATGAGAAAAGTACAAAACGAGAAAAAACGAGCGAATCAACACTCACACAGGTCGGCAGCCCGCGCCACCTCCTGGAGCCATCCCAGGGGCCCACGGAGGGACCTCGGACACTGGATGGGACGGGCCGCGTGGCCGTTCTGCTTTTCCCTGCATTGAGGCCGAGCCCGGAGCACTGGCCCGGCCGCGAGCGAACGAGCGAGCGCGTTTAGTTGAGAAGCCATGGTGGGGTGGCGGGCCGGGGACAGCGGCCACAATGTGCAATAACGTGGTGTCGCGGACCCGCGTGGCGTGGGGGGTGTCGTTTCTAGCCAGCTACCTCGGTAACTCCAATTCATTCAGGTTCACTTCCCCACTGGGCGGCCCCGCGGCAGCTCGGGGCTCCCCTGGCCGCCTCCCTACGCTGGGAGCCTCGCTCTTCCACTGTCCGTCCCCCCCACCCACTGTCAGGAAGCAATACCGGGTCCGGTCGGACGCGGAGCGGACGGCCTGGCGGTGTCTCCGCATGAACTCGCCGGGAGGCCGCGGCCCTGGCCAGCCACGCGGCACTCTTTTCTAATATTTGTATTCTAATTTAATTGTTTTTTAAAAATGCAAATAAAAAAAACCAAGAGTAGCTGGTCCTCACCATCTGTGGTTTTCTGTAGCCCAGGCTACCCTACCCGACCCTGGAAGCTGAGGGCTGGGACGGGCAGGTCCCTGGGTGAGTGCCCGCCCACACAAGCTAGCACAGTGCAGGCACCTTGAGGGCTTTGTGCTCGGTGAGAGCCCGTGTCCGTGCCGTCAAGTCTGGGACGGTGGCCATCCAGCGTGGGTGGCGCTGGTGGGCCGCTCAAGGACACAGTGCGATCTTGATTCTGAGACCCAGCGTGCCAGGGCGAGTCCCGCGTGCAAGCACATGTGAGCATCGCCCCCCACCCCGCTCTGTGGCTCCAGCCCACAGGCCAGGAGGGTCCCAAGAGCGCTCATCTGGGAGTGGAGAGTGGCGCTCGGCAGGTAATCCGCCAGGCAGGAGGCCCCGCCCCTCAGAGCTGTGTCTGTCACCCGGGGGGAAGACAGGTGTCCAGGGTGCAGAACTCAGGCCCGCCTGGTGGGTTCCCCATGGCCAGGACCCAAGTGCACCTCACGCATCTATGTCTTCACTGCTCTGGAGGGACAGCTGGAGGCCCTCAGCAAGCCCGGAGACCCCACGCCCCCCCACCCCGTTTCCCGTGACAGGGCCCCGAGCCCCACTTCCTCCTGGGGACAGGAAGTTGTCCACAGCCAGCTGAGGTTTCCGGTCCCCTAGGCCTGATAAGGTCACTGGAGCCCAGATGGGGGACAGCACCCTGTGGGGGGCACCCTAATGTCCAGGCAGTCCACGCAGGGCTTGCAATGCCCGGGATTTTGAGGTCACCAGCACAGGTGGTCCAAGGGCCACGTCCTTTCCCAGGAATGGTCTGGAAAGACACCACCACCCACCATGGGACCCTCGGCCAGGCTCCACCCACAGGACATGTGAAACTGGGCAGAGACTGGGTGTCTGAGACATCCCCCCCCAAAACAAGACAGAACACAGAGACCAGGCAAGGAAACGTCGTAACAGGATGCATTTAGTGGTTGGGTTTTCTCTTTTATGTACAAGAAAAATGAATTCTATTTTTTCGGATTTTTCATAATCTTTGTTTGTTTTTTATTACTTTTAAAGCTTGTCCCCCCACCCCCGAAAAGTGCATTTTTTTAATCAATTGATTTGTTTTCGTTCTGCCTCCCACACTTTTTATAAAGATTCTTACATCCAGTCAGTGGAATGTCTGTGCTGTGCTCCGGACCCCTACGCACCAGGCCTGGGCCCCAAAAATCCAAGGCACCTCGTTCTGGGCCTAGGGCAGGACTCCCCTGGCCCTCTGTCTCCTGAAACCCCTCCCCCCACCAAGGGAAGTCATTATTTAGTGCGAGCTAGTTCTGAACTGAGATAATCGTTCCTGGGGTGAGGAGCCCCCCAAGACTCCTGACCCGTCCGGCGCCAGCCACCCGAACTCCGGGAAGGCTGTTCCTCAGCTTAAATAACTTTTTAAAATAAAATTGCAAATATAAATATCTTTCTTTCTCAAAAAATAGGATTTTGCTCTCTTTATTTTTTGTCGGTTTTTGTTCTTTTTATGTTTTTTTTTTCTATTTTTTCTTTCGACCTGTGTCCCCTGCAGTCCCTGCTACTTGCACCGAAGACACCCAGGACCCTGAACAGCCAGCCTGGGGTCCGCCCGCTGCAAGGCTGCTGCTGTGCCCGTCCCTGGCCGCCCACCCAGGGGATCCGCTGGAGCACCCTCAAGGAAGGTCAGCTGTGCGCAAAGAGGGAGACAGGGCGGGGGACGCCGGGGGCGTCCCCGAGTGACCGCTAGGGCACCCACTTTGGTTCTGCGCACTCGAGCCCAGCTTGGCGGGGCCGCGGCTGGGCCAACTCTGCCATTTACATTCATTGGTTTCTATATATATATATATATGTAGATATATATATAGAGTTTTCGTTTTTATTATTTTTTTGCCTTTTTATTTTTTTCTTAATCTCGAAAGGCCAGTAGGGGTAGGAAGGCAAAAGCGCAGCACTACTCGGCAGGGGTGGTCTATGCTCAGGTCACAGCTGGGGACAGCTGCAGGCCGCATGCCCTCCCAATCCTGGGGTCCCCGTACCCCCAGACTGGGCTCTCTCAGTCTCACACTCACACAACAGAAATTCACCATAATGGAAGTAACAAATTTGTTGTCTTTTTTCCCCAATTTCTTTTCTTTTTGTTGATGGTACCAGGCATTAAAAAAAGGAAAACAAAAAACAAAACAACCAAAAACCCAAACGCACACACGCAAACACACACACACACAAACACACACAGATAAACCCCCAAACAGCCAAACAAAAAAAAAAACCCCTTCCACAGCACCCTCCTCTCGAGCCCCTAGTGAATTCCACAATTCTCTTTGGCAACTTTTATCACGGCCTTAATTTAAAGAATAAAAATCTGTAAGAATCGATCCGCGTTCTATATACAGTGATTGCAGTACACGGGAGCAGGGAGCGGCCTTGGGGTCCCAGCGCTGGGTCCATGCGGTGGTTGCGGGCCCCAGGACGGGCTGAGGGTTAAGGCAAGGTGGGTGTGGAGGGCAGAAGCGAGCGCCGAGCGGGGGCGAGGGGGTAGTGCAATTCCCAGGGGGTTCGCGTTGTCGCTGGCGGGCTAGGGGGCACCCCCACCAGTCCCCAAGGGCCCCACCGGCCCAAGTCTGGTGGCCACTGGCCAGGATGACGTGACTAGTTGGTTTTATTGCGAGGATGCAGGAGTGGGGGCTGCTGGGCTCTGCTCGCCACAGCACGGCTCCCGGCACGCTCATGTGGGAGTGGGTGCGAGGGAGGCCAGCACCACCCCGCCCCTGGGCCGCCCCTTCTGCTGGCCCCAAGGGGGGATCCTGAGACATCTGGGGGAACTAGCAGGATGGGAGGGGATGAGAAGGAAACCCTCTCTGCTAGAGACTGGAAAGTGGCCTTCTTACGGGGCTTCCCTTTAAAACCAAGGAAAAGGTCGTTTTGTCAACAGACGGACACAGGGGCGCCTCCATGTGCGCTGGCACCCGGCAGCGACGCCCCTAACCCCGGCCGTCCGTGGCCTGTGGCTCGGTCACACCGGGCCTTTGGGGTAAAGCCGGAGTTTGGGGCGTACGGGGCCAGGTGCCAGCCCCTGGGTTACAGTCAGTGCCTTTGAGTAAAAAGAGGGGGTGCCTAGGGGGACCGTCACACGGGAAGGGGGCCGGGCAGGATCTGGCTGGCGTGAAGCCAGCCCTCTCTCGGGGACATCCCTGAGCTGGGAAGCAAACTGGCGAGCCGGAGGGGGCAGCAGCTGCCCGGGCCTGTGTCTCCAACGGAGACAGGAGAAAATCAGTGAGCTGGGGTCAGGGAGGGGGCCTGGCAGACTCGGGACCCTAGGTCCCTTCCCTCGGAGGATGCCTCCCGCCCTGAGCCTCGGGAACACACGTGGATTCTACCGGAGCAATGGGTTGGGTTTCTTTTATTTTATACAAAAATAAATTGACTTACTTTCCACTGCTTGCTCGCGCGCGCTCTCTCTCTCTCTCTCTCTCTCTCTTTCTCTCTCTCTCCAATTTTTCATAGAAGCTGGGTGCAACTTGTAAACATTTCTTAAGTAAGAATGAAAAGTACCCGTTCATTTACAAAGTGCCAAGATCCCCTCGTGGCTGTCGCCGCTTTTGCTCATTTTTTTTTTAAAGTTTTTATGTTCTGCCTTCGTGTTTACTAAAATCCTGGGGTTTTATTGCTGTTTTGTGATATTAAGCTGTGGCCTCTCTTGCCCCCTCCCCTGTCCCTGCCTGAGTTCTGGGGTTCCCTCAGATCTTGGCTACATTCCCCCAAACTGTTGCCGGCTCCTCTGAGAAAAAGGATATTTTATATATATCTCTCTCTATATCTCTATATAAACTGTCTTTAAGGAGGAAAAGGGGAAATAGATCTAAAAAGTGCTTTAAAAAGTGGGGCGCAGGGTGAAGAGGTCGGCTAGCGGAGACAGGAGGGTGGGGGGTCACCCTGAGCAGTGGCTCCGAGGACCCCGCCAGGTGTAAGTGCCGTGAAAGAGGGTGGCGGGGCCCCGGCGGCCCCCCAAACCCCAGCTCCGGCCACCCAGATAGGGAATAAATAGACTTGTGTATCAGTGGTGGCCAGGGTGTGTGCAGAGGTGCGAGGCCACGGCGGGGCGGGAGCGGGGAGGCCGAGGGGACACCCCCCTCTTTAGTAAGTGCCCTGAGGAAGGAGGGTGGGGAGCCGGGGACCATTTTAACGTCCACTCACTGTGGACAGAAAGCATTTAAGGTCTGTCTGAGACCCCTAAAACCAACCAGCAAGGAGCCGGGCGCCTGTCCTGGGGGTCCCCATCACCCTCACCTTAGCCAGGAGCAGGCAGGGAACCCCCGGGGTGGGACCCCACGCGGACGGGGCGAGGAGCATGGGAGCGGGTGGGGCCACGTCCTAAGAATCTGAGAGGCAGGCGTGCCCGCAACGGCCATGGATATATACACGCACACAGGTCCGCGCGTGGATGGATGGAGGGCGTCTGGACAGACAGCTGTGGTGCTGGGGGGGTGTGGTTTCTCTCTGTTCTCTCTTTGTTTTGTTTTTTGGTTTGTTTTGTTTTGAGTACAAGTCAGGTTGCAAAGTTACCCTCCGTGGCGGCCACCGCGGGGCCGCCTGCACCATCGCCACCGCCGCCGCCCACTACATTCAGGCGGCCCGAGCCGTCGGGGCTGGCCTCATCCTCGTCCTCATCCTCGTCCTTAAAGTGCTTTTCCTGGCCGTTGCGCGGGGTGTCAGGGAGCCCAGGGGGCGCAGCGGCCCCAGTGGGGACGTCGGGGGGCACACCCCGCACACGGGGCTTGCGGCCACGACGCGAGGGGACCCCGTTGCAGCCGTCCTTCTTGAGGTGTCTGTGCAGGTGGTCGGAGCGCACAAAGGTCTTGCAGCAGCTGTCACACTGGTACGGCCGCAGCCCCGTGTGCACGCGCATGTGGTTCTTCAGGTCATAGTTGTGCGCGAAGGCCGCGCCGCACTGCTGGCAGAGGTACGGCTTCTCCCCCGTGTGCTTCCGCATGTGCACCTTCAGCTTGTCCTGTCTGTGGGGGGCGGGCACAGTCAGCAGGTGCTGGGAGACCCCAGCCACCCCAACACCTCAGCCAAAGCCCGCACTTGACGTCACTGCAACCCCTGGAAAACACTAAACTAAATAAAGTGACCGTTTTCCTTGCCACAGCCGGCAGAGACCGGTAAGGGTGGGGGTGTGCCTCTTCGCACCAATGTTATTTACTGGGCACCTGCTGGGTGCCAGGCCGAGAATGCCACCAGGAAGAGGGGCCAGAGCTATAGCGGGCGTTCTGGCCCGTAAAGGGTTGTATACCTGGGCCACAGCTCAGGCACTAAGGCTCCGCTCACAACTGTACGAGTTGTGTCCTCAAGAGTGCGCGTCAACCCCAGCACTAGGGAGGCAGAGGCACGTGTGTGGGTTGGAGCCCAGCATGGGCTGCACAGCCAGTTCTGGGACAGCCTGGTCTATACACAGAGAGGCCTCCTCTCACACGAAAGTCCTACACCCCAAAGGCGTGCATGGAAAGACAGTCTTCCCACCCAAACCACCCTGAGGGGCCTCCTGAACCCCCGCAGCAAGCCAGCACCACTGCCCTCCACACCCCAAAGCCTCCCTCGGCGTGTCTGCTGACTCTCCCTCTGCCGCTCTGAGTAGTGAGTGTCCGCACCCCTGCACTCCTGAGAGAGCCTGGAAGGCACCGTCCTACTGTCTCAGCCTCCTGGGTGCTGGGAGATGGGCGTCAGTCACTACCCCGAAGACTACCCAAGTGTAAGGGTCTTCTCACGCAAAGAGGGCGAGCTCATCTGCCCGCTGAGCAGCTGACTTACTGCGTTAGTCCCTGTCTCCCACCTGTCTCCACTCTGTTCACCCTGTACCTGACTCGTGTGGCATTTCTTAGCTGTGTCTGTCCTTTCTGAGGCATGTGACCCAGGTTGGCCTCGGGTTCCCAGCCTTCCAGCACCCGACAGCTTCTTTGACGGCGAGGACTGGTAAACTCCTACTCAGTCCCCATGGCCCCACTCGGGATGCCCCTGCGCCTTTGCCAGGCCCCCGGGACCTGGCTCCTGCTGGGCTCTGTCTGTGGCACCGCCCAGGCCACCCTCCTGTGCCCTCCACTGCTCCCTACTGCGGTGAAGGACATGGCCAGCGGCCCTCTGCTCCAGACCTTGGTCTCTCCCTCAGTGGTACCAAGACAACATGGATGAGATGAACCACGCCTCACCCTGCATACTTCCCTCCCAAGGTACCACCCAGTATCGGAGTTTCGGCTGTGCCCCTGTATAGGCCCCTCCTGCCCAGCACCCCAGTGGTTAAAGTTTCTCTAGTGTACGGAGATTTCCCCGGGAGGCTCAGAGGGGAGAGCTGACTGACCGAGGGTTGCACAGCAGAGCAGGGGCCACACAGGGAGGGGGGGTGGGCGGGAGGCAGGACTCAGTTTCACCACCCCAAGCCCTGGCCTGGGTAATTATAGCCCCGGCTGCCACAGGACGGGCTTACTCAACGCTCACTGTGAGTCACAGGGGCCCCTGGGCTCCAGGCCTGGAGGGGGGCGGTTATGGGGTGGGGGTGAGGGGCGGGGGTGGGGGAGGCCCTGGAGAAGGGGCAAGCAGGCAGGCCTGGGAGAAAAGGCCTCACCAGGCACCCCCTTTTGGACCTCAAGTCTCTGAGAGGAAGGAGGAGCCTAGACGGGCCGGGGCTACACCTGGGGAGAAGGGGCCGCGCTGGGTGGCAGAGGGACGACCCACGACTTCCCCCGTGCGGGTTCCTCAGAGACTAGGATCCGAAGCAGGGCCCAGTACCCCAGGACACTCCCGGGGAGGAGCCTACCCACCCCGAGTCTCACCCACTAAAGCAACTGCCACTCATGGTGCTCTTTGTCCCCACCTGGCACTCCTGGGCACGGCAGCCCTGCCACACCCTCTGGGGAGGGGGCAAGGATGATGGGAGGGGCAAGGATGATGGGGGGCAAGGATGATGGGAGGGGCCGGGTGGGGCGCGGAAGTTAGGACAATGGCTTCTTTCTTCAGGCCGGGTAGGCGTGGCTGGGGAACCCCAGGGCAGGGGGTAACGCTGAGTCACCGCCCCGACTGCACCCTTGCCTGCCAGTCAACCCCCCAGTGCGCGCGCGCGCGCACACACACACACACACACGCACGCACGCACACACGCACGCACACGCGCGCGCACACACACGCACCACACCTGTCTAGCCTGCTGTGGGTCCACACAGCTCAGGAGCCACCTCTGGAAACCTCAGACCCAATCACAGCCCCTGGCCCATGAACTCTCATTTCCACACCTACAGCTTGAGCCCTGAGACTGCAAGCTAACTGACCTCAGGGCCTGGGCACAGCTTTCTCTGCCTTGAACTACCCCAGGAAGCCTCGCGGGAGTCTGGCATCTGTCCACGGCAGCATCCCACCCCACAACCGCTAGCTGGAGCCCTGCGTGGGCCCCACGCCCTCCCCAGCTCTTGGACCGCAGAGGCAGGAGGATCTCTGCCAGTTCCGGGTCCAGCGCGGCTCACCTGGTGAAGCGAACCTTGCAGATGTTGCACTCGTACGGCTTCTCGCCAGTGTGCGTGCGGATGTGGCGGGGCAACTTGCCGGCGCCCTGGATCACCTTCTCGCAGATGGGGCACTTCTGGAAGGCCTTGGCCCTGATCTTCTTCTCGCCCTTCTGCGACCAGGCTGGGTACACGTCGCCCTCGTGAGCACTGCTGAAGTACTTCAGGTAGTAGTCCATGACGCCCTTGTCGTCCGCGCGCGACTCCTCGTCGCTGTCCCCTGCCCGGCTCACCGACGACATCATCTGCTGCAGCAGCGTGCTGGCCGCCAGCCCGTCCACGTCGGCCGCGTCGCCGTCCTCGCCCTCGGCTGCGCCCGACAGGAAGCCTGGGGAGTCGCCGGGCTCGGGGGCCGCCTCGGACAGCGACGTCGCCTCCTCTTCCCCAGGCCCTGCACGGCCATAGTGGCCATTCTGTGTGGCAGCCGGTGGGGCCGCGGGCGGCGGGAAGAGGCCTCCGGCCTGGGTGTCCTCGTCCCGCTCGGGCCACAGCCCCGGGGTGCTGTCGCCCTCGTCCCCGTCGCCCGTGGGGGGACGCTCGGCCGGGGGCCCCGGGCCGTAGAAGTCCAAGCCATTGCAGTCACCCGCGGCCACGGCGGCCACGGCGGCGGCCACGGCGTCCTTGGTAGCATCCAGGTCGTCCTCAGGGGCCCCGAAGCCGGACCACGGAAAGGCAGCAGGAGGCAGGCTGTTCATGGGGTTGCTGCGGAAGAACTCCAGGTACTCCTTGGCACGCAGCAGGTTGCGCTGGTCCGTGGGTCCTGCCCCGTCGGGCTGGCCCGTGTCGCCGGCGTCGTCGGCAGCCAGGATCTGCCGCTCTAGCAGGTCTGCGCACACGTGGCTCACGGCCGGGATCTCCAGCAGCCGCGCTGCGCTCAGGATGTCGCCCACATTGGCCGTGCTGACCGTGAGCGTGGCCGTGTAGGCGAAGTCCATGAGTGCCGTCAGCGCCTCGGCGCTCACGAAGTCGATCTCGTACACGTTCTGCTGGTCCACAACAGCGCCCGACGTGAACAGCTTCTTGAAGTACTGGCTGCAGGCGGCCAGCACCGAGCGGTGCGTGGGGAACTCGCGGCCCTCCACCAGGATCACCACGTCACACAGCAGCCCCTGCGTCCGCTGCTCGTTCAGGCCGCTCAGGATGTCGCTGCTATGGTCCGGGAACGGGATCCCGATGGGGCCGTCCACGCCGCCAGCCATCTTCCGCGCCAACACCTGCAGGGAGGGGTGGCCATCAGGAGGGGACTCTCCCGGGTCTCCCCAGCCTCAGTTTCCCCAGGGGAACTCCCATACCTCCCTGCCCCGGGACGTGGTAGAGGAAGAGGCCAGAGAATGAATGGGGACTCCCTGTGCCTGCAGACCAGTCCTGGGCTCTGGGGAGGAAAGCCACCCGTCCACACCCCAGTGAGGCCAGGCCAGACCCAGCCAGTGAGTAACAGGGGACACCTAACTAGAGCCAGGCCACGCCCCACGGGACGGCACCCAGCACGCACCAGACCCCAGTCTCTCCTCCTAGCAAATGGGCAGCCATCCCTAGAGGAGCCTGGCAGGGGGTACCAGGCTGTCCCACCCGTCCCCACCCCCACGCTGTGACTCATCTGCCCACAGCCTTGTGCAACCCTCCGCCCTCTCCCGGGAACCAGGCTGCCCGCGCCACCCAACAAGGCCCACATTCCTCCGGGTCCTCCTACCTGCCACTGTAAGGCCCGGGCCACTGGACATTGTCCTCAGAAGGGACAGTGCCCAAGCCACACCCGCCTCAGCCTCCCGAGACTTCTGGGCTCCTCCTGTCCCCTGCCTGGCCTGGCCCTCACCCAGAAGTTCAAAAGGGAGGCACCGTCCATGGTGGGTCTCTCCCCATAGGAGTGGCCGTGACACAGAGTCCTTTGTGCCCCTCAGCCACCGCCCACCCTCTCCCCGCCCCACCAGCTGCCTGAGCAGAGCCCACCCCTCACCCCCGCACAGGGGAGGAGGCTCAGATGTGACTGCAGGGACCAGGGGCCAGAGGGGGAGCCCTACGCCGGCACAGCCCTGGGAAGCCTCGAGGAGCCCTCTGACACCATCTGCCGTCTGGCCCCGGGGAACATGTGGGCAGACGAGACCAGCCTGTTCCCTCCCGCCACTGCCTGCCACCGAGAGGGAGGGGCACATGACCCCAAAGACGTCCCCCAGCCAGGATGACCCAGGTCTCTTTGGGGATGGTTGAGAGGTGTCCCTCAGGGGCCCCCAGGGCCTGAAAAAGTCCAAGTGAGTCAGCCTGGCTGTCGCCTTGGGCACAGCCACCCTGGCTTTGCACCAGGCACGGAGCTCCAGGGCCAGGGGCTGCCGAAGCCCTATTTTAAGTGCGAAGGAACCCGGGCTCCAGCCTGCAGGTCGTGGCTGGGCCAGGCCCGGGAGACAGGATGACAGGAGCCAGCCCTGAATCACATCACATAGACCACCTGACAGAGAGCTGTCACCTCCTCAGCGTGCCTGGGTCCCAGGGCCCCTGCAGACAGGCGACCCCTGTTTCTCCAGGAACAAGAGCTCTAGGACCTCAGCACTGTCTGGAACTCCAGGGCCTCACTCAGGCAAGGAACAGGCCCTGAGACCCAGCCCCGCCTCCTGGAGCATAGCATACAGGGTGCCAGGAACCCACACCGGCTCAACCCTGAACGAGCGGAGGCTGCCCAGCTCCAGGGCTACGTCCCTCCTCAGGGAGACCTTCCCAACACTGGGGTCCCGCACGACAGCTCCCGCCTGCGCCTGCCTCCGGGAGATTTCTGGGGCAGGCCCTGGCAGGCCCCTTCTGGGTTGGAGAGGTGGGGCACCCTCTCCTGGGGCCAGGCCATATAGTAGGGTCACAGCAAAAGGTCAGATGAACCAAAGACCCGGGCCCACGCCCTGCTCCGCCCACCCGGCAGGCTGGCACACCCAGTATCAGGGGACCGCGGCTGGTCCACCTCTAACCCAGGGTTACCGGCTGCAACTTTGCAGACCGTCTGCCTCCCTTTCCTGAGGGTTAGGTTCAGGAACTGACCAGGCGTCCTCCTCCTAACCGTCTTTCTTCCACAGCCCTGACAGACCCAGAGACAGCGCGGAGAGCCAAGGTCACACAGCACCCAGGAAGGCGTGGGGACAGACCTGAGCCAGGGTGGAGGTGGGGTAGAAGTGGAAGGCTAGGTCTGGGGTCTCCCAAGGTCACACAGGTGAAGGCTGGCGCTGGCCTCCAGGTCCCCACCCTCAGGAAGGAAGAGGGGCTTCTGGGAAGGGGCTGGGCAGAAACCTTGCCACCCACCACCTTCCTGCACGGCCCAGGGGGCGGGGCCGGCTGATGAGAGGTCAGACTCCACCCCACCCACCTTCCACACTCCATTGCCAGGGTTCCTGGATGAGCTCCTGCCAGAGGCCCCGCCCTTCTGAGCCTCAGTTTCCTTGGGGAGTCTGGCCAGCAAGCGCCCAGCTGTGGCCTGAGCCCACACAGCATGCCCCTGCTGCGGTGCCCACCAACTGTTGGGGACACGGGGCTCCCCACAGTTGCCTCCACTGGGCCCAGAGAGGGTGCAGCAGCCCCAGGTCACACAGCAAGCCCGCTGCAGGTGCTGTGCCCGGCGCTCCCGCCCGCCCAGCCTATGTTGCAAGTTTGGTCCCCATGGGTTTCGGAGCATTGACCCGATGCCAGCGCCCGCCTGGCCTGGTCTAATGGGACAGGAATTTGGTGGGGGTGCACGGGAGGCCCCCGGACCGCCAGTCCAACTCAACCAGGCAGCAACAGAGGGTCAGGCAGGGCTCGAGCAGGCCCAGCCACTTACTGAGCATTTACTGCCATAATGGGGAGGGGCTTCCTGCCGGGGCCTTAAAGGGCCAGAGGCAGGAAGGCAGCCGGCCCAGTGGGAAGTGTGTGCGTGTGGGGGCGGGGACAGGCAGGCCTGTGGGGAGCCCAGCTCCAGGGTGGGGCCGAGGCCCACCCTGTTCCCACGCTCTGAGTGCCACTCATCCAGGAAGGCCACAAGCGAGGCCTAGGCCAGTTCCAAGTGGAAGCCAGGACCTTCCCCGCAGTGGAGGGAGTGAGGTTCCTGACGCTGGGGGCAACCAAGGCTGACCGGGCCGCCCTGTCCCCTCCTGCCGGAACCGAGCCTGGCTGTACCTGCCATCCAGGATGCCCACAAAAAGCAACCGAGGGAACCTACAGGACCCTCCTGCCACCTGGAGTCCCCTCCCAGGTCCCTGGCAGGACAGGCCACCTTCCCTTCAGACACATCATGGCTCAAGGTGGCCCCAGCCTGTTTCCCGTCAAACCAGAAAGGTGTGGGCGGGGACAGTCACCGAGTGGCCCAGCCCCAGCCTGCTGAGGGGACAGATGGAGGGGCCGGTCCCCAGGCCACACTCCCGATCCCGCATGGCAGATGCTTAGAGACGGGACCCCGAGGTGGCGGTGGAGAAGGCGCCGCATCCCACCCGAGAGCATGGGACACTCCCTGGACGGGGTCCCGACACACGGGGACCCAATCAGAGGGGAGGCAGCGGTGCAGGGCTACCGAGCCAGCTGGAATTTGAACCTGGCTGGTCTTGCCTAACTTGTTCCCAGGGCCTCTCCCCTCCCCCGACACAGCCCCTAGGGAGCTTAGGGCACAGGGGCCCTGGCCTCCGCCTAAGTCATGGGGCATCACCCAGGGACTGCCGGCGGCCCCTCCGCAAGTCCAGTAAGGCAGAGTCGCTCCAACCTGTTCCAGGTTGGCCTCGGGAAGTCCAGAAGAGGACGCGGTCAGGGAAACTGAGGCAGAGGAGGAAATATGGCCCCTCTGTGTGGGTGGCAGACCCCGCCTCAGCTTGCTCTCCTGCAGGGCCTATGATGGCCTTGCGTCGGGAGCCTGGGGCAAGGCCAAGGTGGCTCAGATGGCAGAGACCCACGCCCAACTCCCAGCAGACCCTGGGGTGCCCGGAGTTGGCCCCAGGGAACTTGAGAGGATGCAGAGGAAGCTCATGGGGGTGGACTGGGAGACAACACTCGAGGGCCAGCCCGGCCGAAGTCACCTGTGGACCCCTCCCCATGGCAGGCCCTGGGAAGGTGACTTCTGTCCCTTCTGGAATGGTCACAAGAAACCACAGCTCCCCCAGATCTGGGGACCAGGTATGGAGCTGTGGAACCGTGGCTCTGGGGTGAGACGCACAGCCCACCAGGTGCCCAGTCCACAGGGTGGCAGATGCATGGGGGGGAGGGCAGGGCTAGGGTTCCAACTGTGTGACCTTGGAGTCTCACTACCCCTCTCTGGGCTCAATGTCACGGGCAGAGTCCCGATAATGGTGACAGGTGTCAGTCACTGCATCCAGGCCCCAACACCGGCCTCTGGATCTCTTGGAAGAGATACCCCTGAAACATCCCAGGATTTCCGGGAAGACCCCCTACCCCCAGAGGGAGGACCACCAGGGAAGTGACCTTGAGTCCACCCCTCGGCCCCCCGCAAAGACCCTGGCTCACAGGGAACCTCCCCACTCCAAGCCTCGGTTTCCTTCTGTGACAAGGGCCGAGCCATAGGTCACGCAGCCTCAAGGAAGAGAACAGAATGCACCCAAAGGCACAAGGACGGGAACTCCTGCCCAACAGCCGTCCCCACAGGGCCACACGGGCCTGCCTCTCAGGCCTCAGTGTCCCCCAAACACTCCCGAGAGCAGCGGTGTGTGGCTGCCCGGGCCAGGCACTGACTCGCCTCCGCCACGGCCAGTCTCAACTAAATAATAAATACCCCCACCCCCAAAATGACCGGCAAATTAAAATTTCAGTGTCCCCATTGGATCCTGTTTCCTGCCTCTCTTCCAGCGCAGCGTGTCCCCTCCCTCCCTCCCCCAGGCCGTCTCCACAGCGATGCCTGCCGGTAAACAGAGCCCCGAGCCCAGCCCCGGAGAGGTGCCAGGGCCCAGCTGGGGGGGTCACTCGGGTCCCTCCGGGAAAGGGGTGGGGGAAGGCGACCCTGGGATGCGCAGATGTCCCCCGACTGGGGGAACCAGGGCCTAGCCTGAGGCGAGGGGGAGAGGGAGGGCCTTGGGGGACCTCTCCCACCGCAGCCCTGCCAATTGCAAGTAATCGTCCCGGTGGCCGGGGGGGGGGGCTCCCCCTCCTCAGCGTGGGAGCGGCCGCCCAGGGTGACGCCCTGGCCCAGGCTGGGGGAAGGCGGAGGGGTTGGCCGGCTGACACCGGAGGCCGGAGTCGCCCTCGCCGGGGGAAGCAGCTGTGGCAAGGAGGGGGAGACGGGGTTTCCGCCAGGTCTGTCACCCATGGGCGCGGGCTAAGGGTCTGCTCCGGGGGAGAGGGACGGGGCAGCCATCTGTCCCCGCTCACTTCCGCCACTCAAGGAGCACCCCGGGGTGCCAGGCGGGGAGAACGGGGCGCACGTGGTGGCGATGGCGACCGGGAGGGAGGGAGGGAGGGAAGGGACGGCGGCCCAGGCCGCGCGGCTCCTACCTCCTTCCCGGGCGGCGCGCGGGCCCCGGCGACCGTGACGATGCCTGCGGCGGGCTGGCGGCTCCGAGCCCCGGCGGGCGACGCTGAGCCCGGCCCCGCGCCACCCTCTGCCGCCGCCCGGCCAATCCCCACCCGGGCTGGGGGGAGGGCGATGCAAATTACCCCGGATCTGGGTCCGCCCGTCACCTCCCCCGCGCCCGGCCCGGCCCGCGCCAGGCCGCGCATCCCCGGCCTCGCCTGAAGCCCCGAGGCCCCGACACCACACCCTCCCCCGGGGAGGGAATGTCTTGTCTTGCGGAGGAACCTTTCTGCTCGTCCCGGAGCGTCCGGAACTAAACGGAAAGGGGGAAAAAATAAAATATCGAAACGGAGGGGGGGCTAGGGACGGTTACACAACAGGAGGGGAGGGGCGGCAGCCGGAAGCCGAGGCCGCCACCGGCCCCCGACGAGGGAGCCGCGGAAGCCCCGCCCCCTTCTCAGGAACCTGCCCCTCGACGCAGGCTCCGCCCCCATGCCGCGCCGCGCCGGACAGCTTGTCGCTTCTATTGGCCCTCTGGTCCGCCGCTCACCGCCCCTCCTCCGCAACGCCCCTCCCTGAGCCGTCGCTATCGCGGGTCATTCTGGGATTTGTAGTTCGGACTTCCCGACCACCTTCCAAGACGCCAATGAACTTACCAGAAAGAACTACAGCGCCCAGGAGAACCGCGAGAGGCCGCGCCCGCCCCCCCGGACACCCCACCCCTTCCCCCCGCCTCTCTCGCTCTTTTTTTTTTTTTTTTTGCAAAGCCCCCCTCCCTGCCTTTCAGCCCCCTCCCCCTCCCCCACAGCGCTCGGTCCTGGCCGACTCCGACCTTTGCGCGGAGTCCCGGATAGCCCCCCACCCCCGCCCCGCCTGCCCACGACCACTGGGGAAGGGGATCGGCGAGCGCCCCGGGCCCCAGTGCAAACTTAGCACGCGACGCGCCCCTCTGCCTCCGCCTCCGCCCTCGGTGCGGCCCGGCTCCCCTCCCCCGCAGCCCGCGCGCCGGGAGCCCCGAGGCCGTGCAGCGCGAACTGGGAGGGGGGAGCGGGCGCGGGCTCGTGCCCTTCGCCCCGGAGGGGCCCGGGCGGAGCGCCCCTCAGTGGCCTCCGGCTGCGGCCCGGCGCCTCCTGGCCTCCGGGACCCCCGAGCTGCGGGGGCGCCCCGACCCCGCTGGCAGCCCGGCTCCACTCCGTACGGGCGCTCGGGGTGCGCACTGCGCCCCCGGCCGCGTCCCCACCCCGCAGGGAAATTTAAATTAAGAGAAAACAGGGAAAGGAAGGACAACAAAGCCCACCTCGCGGAGAGGTGCCCGCGGCGCGGCCGCTTACCTCGCGGGGACCCGGGCCCGCAGGACGCGCGATCGGGGCTGCCCGCGGCCGGACCTCGCTCGGGCGGGCGGCGGCGGCGTCACTGCCCTACAGTAGCCGTACAGTACGCAAAGCCCCGTATGATGCTCGCGACTCCCTTCCTGGTTTGTCCGAGGGCAAGAGGGGTCCTCCCTCGTCTTAAAGGTGCCGCAGCGCTGGCACCCCACGCCCAGCCCGCCCCCCCGACCGCCGCGGCCAGAACAGGCTCTGCAGGTCGGCTCTTGCCACGTCCCGCGGGGCTGCGCCGCGAGAGCAGATCCGGCTGCGATTAGGGATTTGGGGGTGCCGAGCGGGCGGGGGGCGCAGCCCGGACCCACGGCCCCTCCCCTGCCAAGCCCGTGACCTCTCCGCCCCGCGCGCGGCGCCGTGCCAGGCTGCTGGCTTATCTGCGGCCCCGAGCACCCCGGGGTGCTGGGGGCGGGCGGCAGGGGCCCCTCGGGTGCAGGGGGTGGGGGCCCCAGATAAACAGCCCCCGCCTGTGCGCGCAGGGCGGGGTTCAGGGGGCGCGGGATGCGCCCCCGGCGCCCGGGGCGGGTTGGCAGCGGGGGCGGGAGCGCGGGTCGCACCCCTAGGACTCGCCGCTGGGGCGCGGGGGGCGCGCGGGCCCGGGGAACTGAGGGCAAGGCGAGGAAGTGACGGTCCCCCTGCCTCCGCACCTTTCTACCGGGCCGCCAGGGCTACCGCCCGGTTCCTCATCGCCCTCCCCCGGGTCTCAGTTTACCCAAGCGTTGCAAGGCACGAGAGGGAGAAGGAAGGGGCTGTTGCAAGCACCGCGAGGTTGCCTCGAAGATCCAGCTTTCGTTACGGTCACCCTGGGCCTCAGTTTACCCAAGAAGTGCGAGCAACCCAGGAGAGGAAGAGGCCGGAATTTGCAAGCACCAGGAGTCCGCATCTGAGCCCCGGGTCCCCCAGCCCCCGCCATAAGCCTCAGTTTACCCAAACTGCGAGGGACCCAGAGGAGGGGAAGCTGTTTGCAAGTGCAGCCAGCTGGCTTAGAGCGTCGGGTCTCCTCCTACCCCCATCTGAGCCTTGGTTTACCTAAAGCCGAGCCAGGGACCCCCCAGGGGAGGCTTCCAGGGCCTGGAGTGGCCGCTGAGCTGGGGGGGGTCCCTCCCTCTCCGTTGCCGCCAGCCAGCAAACCTGCCGCCCCGCGATTACATAAAACAGTCGCCTCCACCCGGCTGTGCCAGGGGCGTAGCGCGGGGAAGGGGTTGGCGAGGGGCGGGGAAGGTCGGTTGTTTTCCAGGCCTTGTAATTTTCCCCGCGGCCGAGCGGCTGGCCCGCCTGGGGAGGGGCGTGGACTCGGACCCTGCCGGGGCGCCCAGCGAGCCACCCGGGGGCAGGACGGAGGTGGGGTGGGGGCGCGGGTCCACCCAGCGTCGTCTCTGTTTTCCTCTTTCGCCCCCACGTCCTTTTCTCTCCACTTCCTCTCCGGTCGTGGGAGAGGGAGGGGAAGGGAGAGGAGGAACCAGCGACGTCCAGGGTCACTGGGCCTGCCGGGTCCGCGGCTTGCGGGAGGGGGCCGAGCGGGAATGAGAGCGAACCCAGGCCTCAGTTTACCCCTCTGCACCGCTTCTGGTGGAACGCATGGGATGTCGGCCTCCAAATGTCCGGGGTCTTACTTGAGGGTATTTTTCATTCATTGTTATTACTGTTAATCATGCATGCATCGATATTTCTCAGACTGTCCCAATGTGTTTGTTTTTTACATCAAGGCATCGACCCCTCCCGTCTCCAGCGCATGTTTACAAACCGAATTAGAGCACGGTTCGGCTGGGTGTGGTGTCGCCACTGATCCCGGCCCTGGAGAGGCAGAGGCAGGTGGATCTCGCTGTGTTCGAAGCCAGCCTGGGCTACAGAGCTCCAGGACAGCCGGGGCTAGGTAGTGACACTCCGTCTCCAGAATACAAATAAAAAGTACTTTTGAATACCCAAGCAGACTGGATTGGTCTTTTGTGTTAATAAGTTGCCCACTAAGGGGAAATCCAGGAGGTCCCCACAAGGGAAGTGGGAGCCCCGAGCCAGGCAGTGACACCAGCCAAGAAGGTGGGAAGGACTCTGGCGGCCACGTGAGCCAGGCGGGGGGTGGGGGACCAGGAGCCTGGGCGCGGGCCGCGGCACGGAGCCCTTCCTCAAGCACCCTGAGCGCAGCCTCTGTCCCGTTCTGATCGGGGACTGGGTCACCCTTGCTGCCAGCCCGGAATTCACCCGGGTCACTTTCCACGCCCACGGCTGAAGCTCCTCCCACCTACCTCGGTTTCTCCAGAGATTAATCAGTGCTGGTCCCAGAATAGTGGGGCTGGGAACTTAAAGGAACGGCTTGAATTCAGTCTTGCAATTCCAGCTGTCACCTCAGGTTGGACCCTCGCTGGGGTCCCAGACAGACCGGCATCTCCGGCAGAGCACACCAGACCTTATATCCTCAGTTTTCTGATGAGTGCTGAAGGGGCCCAGGCCCTGAACTTCACTCACACCACTGGGTGCTAGCCTGGGTGACCTACAAGACCTCCCGGCAGTCAACAGGACCACAAGCAAAGCCTGGTGGGTAGCACCGACTTTATTCTTAGGCAGTAGAGACAAGGGTCCGCAGAGTGCTGAGGCTAGCCTGGTCCACATAGCAAGTCCTAGGCCATATAGACTACACGTGGAGACCCGTCTGAAATAAAATTAGTGAATTACAATCGACCCAGCACTCAGGAGGCAGAGGCAGGTGGATCTCTGAGTTTGAGGCCAGCATGATCTACAGAGTGAGTTCCAGGACAGTCAGAGCTACACAGAGAAATCCTGTCTCAGAAAAAAAAAATCTAATCTAAATCTAAATCTAATCTAACAATCTGGGTGAGGTGACATACACCTATGATCCCTGGCAGTTAAGAGACCTGGAGAACCAGGAATTAGTTCAAAGTCATCCTCAGCTGCTTAAAAATTTGATCCTGCCTCAGTTACATGAGTCCCTAGCTCAAAAATAAACAAAACTAAACCAAAATGTCTAAGCTGAGTCTAATGGCTCATTCTGTAACCTGGTCACATCAGGAGGCTAAGCCGGGAGGACTGCCTCAGTGACTTCAAGGCAGCCTGGGCTTTAGTTCTATCTGTGAAGACATAGGGACAGGAGGACCAAGAGCCTGGAGCTACCCAGCACTCGGGAGGCAGAGGCAGCCGGATCTCTGTGAGTTCGAGGCCAGCCTAGTCTACACAGTGAGTTCCAGGACAGCCAGGGCTACACAGAGAAACCCTGTTGCAAAATAATAATAATAATAATAATGAAGCAGCAAATCATTAATGCAATTAAGACAAAAATTGGAGTGAGGACAGTGCTCAGGGTCTTGGAACATCTAACTCCTTACTTCATTATTCAAGAATTTTGAAGCACAGTAGACAGAGCATAGGGCCTGGGACATGCTATGCAAAAGTTCTAATTCTGTAGCGCAGGTTAGCCTCCTCTTTTTTTTGTTTTTCGAGACAGGGTTTCTCTGTAGCTTTGGAGGCTGTCCTGGAACTCACTCTGTAGACCAGGCTGGCCTCGAACTCACAGAGATCTGCCTGCCTCTGCCTCCGGAGTGCTGGGATTAAAGGCTGCGCCACCACCAACCGGCTAGCCCCCTCCTCCTTATAGGAAGATGACTCTGAACTCAGGAGCCTCCTGCCACCACTGCCTGGTTACACTCCTTTTTTAAGGAACAAACACAACTTGTGGATGTGCCAGGTGTGGAGGGAGGGGGACTAGGAGAGAAGCATTCTGGGAGCATCCTGGATGCACACAGGGGTTGTGAGAGGGTCTGGGGAGCTCGCCCCGGGGGATTCTGCAGCACCAATGGATTTCTCCACCAATGGGGAGATTGTGTCTGCCGTCAGCTGTGAAGTAGCTCTTACTTATATACATATACATATTTACATATACATATATATTTACATATATATTTACACATATACATACACATAAAACACAGAGAAGCTACAACTTCACACAGCACCCACCTTTGCTCTGGGGCAAGATTCACTTTTATATATTTTAGTTTTTTCAATACAGGGTTTTTCTGTGTAGCCCTGGCTGTCCTGGAA